AATCACATATTATCTCAATCAAATAGATTATAGACACAATCATCAACTAGACTAACAAAGAAGAAAACAGACTCACTTGGATTACAACTGACTCTGCAGTTTGCTTTTGCTTAGCTACTAAAAAAATATGAATCATATTAAAAAGTGTGAATAATATTAATAGTTGAGTAGTTGACTATTGACAAGCATTTAAATCTAGAGATTTATTGATATAAGATACATTTTTTTTCGCTCATGGCTCGAACCATATAAAACTATCGATATGAGTCTTTAAATAAACATCAACTTCCTGAATTGATGGTTGATCTATTTTTAGGTTAAAAAAAAAATCCTAAATTAGAAGTAAAATTTTAAAATATGATGGTAACTTAAGCTTGCACTAAAAATACAACCAACGTGTGAAATTATTAGTTAAAAAAATTGATCTAGCAATTTACAAACTTTGAGTGAAGCCAAGGGAGGAAATGATCAAAATGAACCAAATGATATGACTGAGTGGGCCTTCGACATGAATCAAATTATAAAAAAAACTATAATTGCCCTCTGTTATGTTAAGCCCAGTGAACAAAATAATGGCCCATATATCTGGGCCGTTCCGAGGCTATTGGCCCAGCCTGTTAGAATGTTCGAATAGAAAACTCGACCACATTCATTGAACAATACAATAGAAATATAAGCGCAGATAAAGTGTAAAATCCCGTAATCTTTTTGGGGTCACTATTGATAGTGATGGTCAAGTAAAGACACTAATCAACTGTACTATCATCGTGAAAGCTTATGTTAAATATTATTTTATATCATTTCAACATTCAAATGTCCTAATATGCTTTCGTCATGAAAGCTTATGTTCATATATTATTTCACATTTTTCCAAGTTTTAACATTAGATTAAAATGAAATAAAGTTGCCACACCAAACCAATGTGGGAGCACTCGAATCAGAGCTCAATTACATCGAACTCAGACTCTAGCTAGATTAAGTTTGTATTATATAAGCTCGATTATGTGACGAGCGGTCAGATTTTACGCGTAATTACCTAAATATTCCTTACCTTAAATTAAATTTGACCTAAAATTGAGTAAGGTAATGTTTAATCTCGAACTGATCTCCAGCATTTGTATAACTTAGTTTAAACATGGCCATCAATACTGCTAAATTCACATGACAATTTTGAATTAATATTCACTCTTTTCAACTAAATGCCTATTGCTATTAGATTGGACTGCTTTTTTACTTTAACACAAAGTTCTCACCTTTTCATCTTTCTTCATAAAAGTTAAACCAAAAAAATTGGTGTTTAGAAAAAAAAAATAAAAATAAAAATAAAAAAAATAATAAAAAAATGGAAGAATCCACAAATTATATATCTAGATACCCTGAGCACATCCACTCATGGAATAATCATAATTCAATTAATAGTTTTATGCAGTCTTTATAGCCCTTAAAATTATTATTTCCATATATATGTGTGTGTATTATCTAATAAGATATATAGAACTTTTTTATAAAATAAGTATGTATATTATTTAAAATTATTGTGTAACTATTAGTTCGTCTGACACAAAATTCATTTATTTTGTTAACGTTTGTTTTGATTAATTTTGCATATCTGTCCTTGATATATAGTCCGAAGGTGCATAATTTAAGCATCAAAATAGACATGGCGATGAACTATAGAATGATTTCTGGGCCAATTTTGTCTCTTTGAAAGGATACATACATTGTTTAATCTGGTTTTCATCAAATCCGTGTGCGGTTTTAGGATACAGCTGATAAAAAAAGATTTAACTGTTTTAAATTCGTATTTCAATATATGTTTGTTTCATTGAATAAATAATGATGTATTTGATTATGATATTATTACGTGTTATTCATTAAATAAAATTGAATGTTGATAGAAATACAATTTTACAACATCAAATCTAATTATCACAACATGATTTAATTGGATACTTATTTTTTTTTATTGTTTTATTTGATCGTATAATTTATTTTGAATGGAATTGTGATTAGATATGTTTTTTTTTTTTTTTTCTAAAAAAAATTGCTATTCATTCTAACTTTTTTTTTTTCTCAATATTATTAATACAATTAAATAATAAAAGCAATCATTACTACATAATATATTTAAATAAAAAATACAATCCATTCAATTATATATTTTTAACTGATAATTATTTACATCATTACTTTATTATCTTCCTATTACATCAATTCAACAATTACATTTGATATCACATTTATTCACAATCTCCACATTATTTTATTTACCCACCAAATAAATTTTCCAATCTTTAACTCACATTTTTCTATTCAAAATATTTTTTAATCAAAATAATATATATCCAATTGTACCTATAAATGTTAGTGGATTATGCCAGTTGGTTTCATCACGAATTCTATTGATTTATTATAGTTTGATTGCATAAAATTGTGTGACAAATAATTAATCATTAACAATAAAAATTTTGGTATAAAATGACTACTTCAAAGAATAAATTTATTGTCCCTAACAATTTTTACACAATCTAAATATTCAAGAATTGAATATCATTAAAAAAATTCTCTCTTTCTTGTGGGTTTGTGGTCTCTGGTTCGTGTAGGGAGTGGAGTTAAGCGCTTGTCTTTGGTACGGTTCGGTTGTTTTTGAACTTTTTTTTAAAATTAGCATTTCGGATCTAAAAAAATAATTAAATAATCTCGTTATCAAACAAACTAATTATCGTATTTGATTGGTCAAATTTCTAAATAAAATTAAATTCGCTAATAAAGTCCAATATTTATAATTGATAACATATATTATCAAACAAATGTCGAAGTAAGACTCATATAACTGTATTTCGTAGTTTGACTATACCATGATGGGATGCCATGACTGTAAAAATTCTATGAGAATTATTATGTGATGAAAATTATGCTCCTTTTCATAGTACACAAAAGATATTTATTTCTTAGGTTTATAATTGAATGGTACCATCCAAGAAATTTTTTAAAGATTTGACTTTTTGGGCCGTCAAGGCCACTTTTAATGTAATGGATTGAATTTATAACTTGGATGTATTTATAATCATTGAATAACATCACTGAGTAAATGTGCAGGTTTTGATATTCGTAATCCCATTTATAGCCTTGGTACAGATATATAGCAAGGATGACGTCATCGGAAGTAAGTATAACAGTTGTGCGGTTAAATTGTATACTTAAATATGCATATTTTAAAATATAGTATTTTAAAATAATATATAAATAAAAATATAATATTATGCATTTTTATTAAAAACAATATGATGGTTTATTTGTTTGACATTTACGTTGTCTTATAAACTTATAGATATTTTTCTAATTTGAGAAAAAAACACATATCCTGTATAAAAAGGTACAATGCAACCTTTATCAATGAGAGAAAATTCAATTTGGAGTATAAAACAACTTATTAAAATTAATTAATTTTAATAAAACAAAGTAGGAAAATGAACTATTATGATATGTGTACTAGAATTTTATACAAAAGTTCCATATTGAATTTTATGTAAAAATCAAATCACAATGATAATTTTATAATGACTAATGATTAAAGTTATATTTAGTTTTTTTGGACTTTAATCATATATTTGTATGGATGTTTATTAATTTAACTAAAAAGATAAACTTCATATGAATGTGTATTTATTTAACGATATGTAAGATGAAATTCACACTTTGCAATTGTCCGATTAGTAAATTGAGGTTGCCGTCTCAAACTTCTCTTGGGACTAAGGGTCCTTAATTTTCTTCCTTTTTTTTTAGAAAAAAATAAAAAATTAAGAGTCCCGTATTTTTAAAATAACGAATTTACTTTATGCAAAATTTTCCCTTTTATCATCTTTTTCACAAAAGCAAATTGGAAAATAAGAAAAATTCAGTGGTTACCTAGTAAATTGGATGCCTTCAAATTCCTTTTTTCTCACTTTTTTCAATGTAAAACCTTCTTTTTTAATACTGCTTATCATATATATTCATGGTCATGCTTTTTATCATAAAGTCTCCTTTTGTGGAGTTTTTCCAATGCAGAAAATGCTATTCATTTTCTATGATTATATTGAAATTTATGCAATATGATTTTGATAGGAGAGTATCTGAAAGTACAATTTCATCCTAAAATTAAAAAATAATAACCAAACAACCCCTAATTAGTATCAGATCATCTTCAATACTGAGACAAAGTTGGTGAGGCAAAGAGGGAGAGAAAAAGTGGATAACTTCATTATTCATATGTGATGTGAGTAAATATGTACAAACGCTACTATTGTTAAAATATCACTTGTGAGTTGTCCCACATCGTTCATACATGGAAAATAGACCCACTTTATAAGACTAATGGACTACTCCTCCTTCCACCAATTGGTTTTGGGATGGAACCCCACTTGAGCTCCATATGGGCTTTTCCCGTTGTCCCATGGTGCGCTTCATGATAATGGGTCCGCACTCATTTTCTCTCAGTTTCTTTCATGGTATCAAAGCCGGTTCTGTTGGTGACCGTGCGACGAGGTACCCGTTTTTGGGTTTGGGCTTTTGAAGGACTCACAAGTGAGGGGGCGTGTTAGAATATCACTTGTGAGTTGTCCCACATTGTTCATACATGAAAAATAGACCCACCTTATAAGACTAATGAGCTACTCTTCCTTCCACCAATTGGTTTTGGGATGAAACCCCACTTGAGCTTCATATGGGCTTTTTTCGTTTTCCCATGGTGCGCTTCATGATAGTGAGCCCGCACCCATTTTCTCCCAGTTTCTTTCATTGTAAGCTCGGGAAACACTCGGCTCTTTCTTTGTTATTTTTGTTGATGATTTTTCTCGTTTTACCTGGATCTATTTTCTCAAAAATCGTTCTGAGTTGCCCAC